GATTGGATGGAAAATTACAACCAGTTCTCAAAATATTCAAATAATCTTCAAATACACTGAGCTAATTTTTATTATAGTCTTCTGCAAGAATAAACCCAGAACTCCCAATAACACCATATTTGTCATGGCTCAGAAAATTTTCTAAGTATAATGGCTGATCAGTACTGGGTGCTTCACGGTTGTAATAACCTGAACAAACACTGCATGCTTATATGCCAGGTGTAACAGCAAAATTGTCCAAATCACGTAACAGCATAATTGTCCCTCCCACAAAATGTTTAATATCTAAAACGCCACTAAACTAATTGAGTTCTTTTTTTCCAAGTTCTCAGGTAAGACGTTTAGCCATCTTTACACCATTTGTCGTAACAATCACTGGAAAATCCTTTGAGTTATTCAGCTCGAAAGAGAACACGTTAAACTCATTTTGTGTCAGCCCTACCGTCTTCCCAAATGAGAAATGGTGAGAGGAAAAAAAGATTATTCAGGCCTTCAGTAGTGGTACCAACATTCATACTCTGCCTTTCATCTTCAAAGTTCATTCAAGAATCATCAAGAAAACGGTGAATAAGTTTAAAAAAGAGGGAACAGTAGAGAGTAAAACTAGAGGGTGACAAGAAGAGGGTACAATTTTAACTTACAGCTAAAGAGATTCATTAGAAAATATAAAAAATAGGAAATATCCAGCTAAATACATAAGACATGATTGAGGAGATTCAGCTATTGCAGTCCAAAGAGCATTGAAAAAGACTAGAAAATGAAATCCCACGTAAAACAAGTGCGGTACCTTCATGAAAATGGAATATATATATATATATATATATATATATATATATAGAGAGAGAGAGAGAGAGAGATAGAGAGAGAGAGAGAGAGAGAGAGTAAAGTAATGAAGGGTTTGTTAATCCCTATGGATGATTCCAAAGAGGAAGTAATCCAGAGAGCTCAATGTAACAACAGAGCAAATATTAATTAATTAAATTAAAAAAAAGTGGACCATAAGATACCATGACTATAATTTATTTCCCAAGAACATATATTTTTCATGGTTCATCAGGTCACATCTTTATATATATATATATATATATGTAAGCAAATATATGGATATAGATCCGACATTATGAAGAAAAATATACGGAAAAAACAAACAAAAATCCTAATATGCAATTATGCTGTTTTAATGTTTAATGTCAACGTCGGACGTTTCGGTCTAATAGACCATCTTCAGGACATATTCATAAAACATAATTAACATAGATAATATTCAATTCAACATGAAAAAGACGATGGACATAAGAGCAAGACGAATCCAAACAGATAACTGAAATCTTTTATAAGATCAGCGTTTCATTTAAATATGATCACGTCGTCGTCACGTGGGCGATGTTGTGAAAACGTTTTCCTAAAATTTGCATATTAGGATTTTTGTTTGTTTTTTCCGTATATTTTTCTTCATATATATATATATATATATATATATATATATATATATATTGAACTTTATTTCAATCCTTCATGAGCTTCCGATGTTTAACTATGATTAATCAATGATGAACATGTCATTTTTATTGATGATAGATTTCATTATGCTTCTTCTGTTAAGCTGGAGAGGAATTATACTTTCCTATTGCTCAAAGTAGAGACCAATAGTGTTATAGAAACTTCGGAGAATTCCAGTAAGATATCTTTAATCATTTCAAATCTTAATCTAACAATTGGACAGTTTTCTTTCTCTTTCGCGATTTGGGCAATGTTGCTGTTACACCCAGTATATGATAAAATATAGTTTTAGGTATGGTATATTTATGGGTTTAAGTGCTTAATATCAGGGATAGAGCGTATACAAATATAAAAGTGGACACTGAGGTCAACGCCCAGATGCGACAGTATGTATCATGCTAAACGCCATCGTCAGGCTTTACGAATACAAAAAATGTAGCACAAGGCCAAAACTTGAAATGCGGAAAGCTGGTCTGACTCTGTCTTATCTTAAAAAACTGACCCAAACAAAGTATACAATATCCATTGCACCAAAAGTCCGCATTTTTACTTACCTTTCTAACTAAAATCGCCATAATACGTAAAAGTTCCTATGAAGTCCTAATTAGACCCATATGTACAATTTATCTGCCTAGAGTTGGGAATAAAATAACAAATTTAAAAAAATGAAAACCCCGATGAACATTTACACTCTGCATAATACTATATTTACAAGACACTAAATTAAATGGCCTTAGTAAAAAAAAAATCACAATCCTTAATTGTGGCAGAAATATCAGTTAACTGGACGAAATTTATGCAGGACTGCGATAGAATAAGCCAGTCAATCGACCAACCACACAGACAATTACACACTCATTCAAACACGACGACAAATACCAAAAACACACACGAAAAACGAAAAGGGTTCTATATCGACCAGGGAAGTAACATTTCTGGTCACCTAACAGGGGAGATGATAAGGGATTAAACTAAAGAATGTAGGAGCAAAAATAAAAAGGGCCAAGCAGCGTACATCCCCTAGCTAAGTTAACTTAGCGTAAAAACTAAAAGCAAAACAAGCCTAAACAAACCTATTTTGTTCGCGGTTGTCAATGTTAAATACAGAGTTCCCAATATCCTGATGCCTAACCGGCATCAACATTCCACTCTAAGCCAGCTCCTTTCACTCGACAGATACGGACAAGACTCGCCCACCATTTGCCAAATTCGGATGAAGGGAATCGTCACCTTTCCGTCCTGATCTTGACTTTAAGCTGATTCTTAAAGAACGAGATCAGTTGCCATAGAATTTCTTCTGTCGCGTGGTCCATATCACGACTCAAGTAACACCTAGCAAAGACAAGGTAAAACCCGTCATAAGGTGTGAGCTGTACTTGTGATAACAAGATAATGCCCTTCGTAAGGTGTGAGCTCTACTTGTAAGGACAAGATTAAAACCCTTCATAAAGGGTCACCTGTACTTTGTAAGCTATTAGCTGTGCTTAAGAGAACGAGATAAAGCGTTAGATGTGCGCTATATATGAGAAAACATTATTAGTATTATTATTGTCCCTTCGTAAGTTAGTACGTTAAACTGTTCATTATGCCTGTAATAGCATATCTGTCCTCTGCCCACTTGGTATAGCAGTAGCTTATTGAGTATAAGCTACTACTATACCAAGATTTATTCTCTTACACTTTTCCTGGCCAGGATCGATTACATTACAGAATACTTCTTTGGATTTTGTCAAGAATTTCGAGATGTACAACAGAAACACCAGACCAGACATGGCAACAGTATTCAATGCTTGGATGAATGGTAGATTTGTAAATCTGTAAAATGGTTCATGACGGGAAAGATATTCTGGCACGACACAGTGAACCAAATTTCTTTACAGTAGACGTTGAATCCTCAGAATATTTCAAATAGGAAAACCGTTACCTTTCTTTTCCGGGTCCGTACTATAGACCTAAAGTTAGAAATGGCATCATAATATTTTCCACTGAGCATTTTCTTTGAGGAAAAAATAAAGAAAAAAAAGTAAGATCACATATTTTAAATAGATAAAGCCCTCAGTAAGATGTGGGCTATACTTGTGAATGATTTTTTTTTGTTTGTATTTCTTTAAGTTTACACAGCTTACATACAAAAGGTAGACGAATCCAGATGACTTCGACCAAAAGAATGATAATAATTCAACTTTACAGGGTAGATCACCGCCCCACTGCAGGACAGAGGAAGGATCCTTAAGGAATTCATTAAAATGAAAAAAAAAATTATTATTATTATTATTATTATTATTTTATTTCCTTTAGTTTCTGGTGTATACTCATTTCTTTCCGGGTCCCAGCCAGGGCCTTAAGGTCAGAAATGGCATCATGACTTTTTCCACTGAGCATTTTTGAAGAAAAACATCACACATATTTTACATAGATAAAGCCATTCGTAAGGCATGGGCTGTATTTGTGAGTCCAATTATTTGTATTTCTTTAAGGCATGGGCTACCAGAGATCCCTTCAAGGTGTCTATTGGAATCATATCCAATCATTCCGAAGGCTCCAACTACAACCGGAATTATTATTATTATTATTATTTTTATTTTCTTTGATTTCTGGCGTTTACACATTTCTTTATGGGTTGCGACCAGGGACC